AATATGATTTTCTTGCATTTTTATCAAATAAAATTGTATTAAAATTTCTCTATGAAAAGTGTGTGAAAATGTGTACCAAAAATTGAAGTGAAAAATGATGAAATGAGATTGGTGAGATGTACTGGAATGATATTGATTGATATAATAAAATGATGTACTGATTGATATCACCTCAACGATAAGAGTGCGGATGATCATATTGAAACCTTAATGATAAAAGTATGGATGGTTGTACTAACACCTCAATGATAAAAGTACGGATAATCGTATTGATACCTCAACAATAAAAGTACGAGTGATCATAATGATACATTAACAATAATAGTACATATAGTACTAATAATATATGAGACATGATAAAAGTACTGCCAGTATTAATATATTACATATAGTACTATCAATATTGATATATTACAAATGTATGAAATGATGGATTGAAATGGTGGATATGATTAAGTTATACAAGAATGTAATATTGTTAATAGTCTGGATTTGGTATGAGGTATAAATATGATGAACTGATTGATATCAAATTTATGATATGATAATCCTATAACGATACAACGATTTCAGAGTAACAATTGAAAGTCATAAGGAAATGGAGATTGATGGAATTATAAGGAGCCATGATGATTGTCATGGAATTCAAGGGGAGTTATACGAAGTTTATTGATTGTGAGTCATAAGACGAGACTATTTATGAGTCATAAGTGCATGAGCAAGAAACTCTTAAGATACCCTCTTTTGAATATCTGAATATTGTATTGATACTAATTATGATTATTGATTACTCATTACTGTTACGATTACTGCTATTATTAATATTCCCTATTATTTTTATTGAGACTATTCACTATTATTAATATTGTGGACTACGATGTGTGTTATAATAAACTGAGTAATATATATATATATATATATATAATCAACATAGATATTGATGCATATATTTCTTTATATGATTTATACCATATTATTTCTTTTTTACATTGCATTGATTTCAGTTATAAGATTTTAATTATTTGTTAGGATATTCGCTCATTACGTGGTTTAAATGATTTAAGATAAGGAGCCTGCAGTTTGAGATTATGTATGCAATGATGCTAGTGCATTTTTTATTTCAATTCTTTGTTTTATGTATTCTTTTGTAGCTAGAGTGGATATTGTATATATTATTTAAGACTCTACATATATGATGTGATTTTGAACTGAAGAAATGTGAATTATATTTTTTACTGTTTATTAATTTTCTTTAATGTAATTAAGCAGCTCTGAATGTTCAAATCAATTTGGTTGATAAATGAATAGAATGTGATTGAAAAGATAAGAGTATGAAAAAGAAAAAAAAAAACATAATATAAATTCTTTCACTTTAGATCCCGGAGCATCACATTAATTGTACTACAATAATATTTTTCAGCATACATATTATTTTCTATTTGATTAAAATCATATAAATTATAAAACCCTCAACATAAAACTTTTAGAAAATATTCAAATTGTTAAAATCTCAATCTCTATAACATATAAAAAGTTACACAGTGAAAGTTTTACTAGTGTACAATTATCCCTATTTTTCGATAACATAAACATAATTTTAATCAAAAAATTCAATAAAAAAGTCGTATTTTTTAAAATCAAGATAGGCATAATATGACATACCTCGATCTGAAAAACTTTCCTAATCGGATAATAGCTGAAAATGACCTGAACACCTGGAATGAATCTTATCTCTCCTTTCTTTTCTCTTTTTCCTATATTTTCCCCCTTTCTTTTTCTTTCCCTCTTTGTTTCTCTATTAAATGAATGAAAGGGAGGCTTTTAAGTGCTTTAAGAAATATTTTATAATATTCAAAGTGCATGTTGGTCATTATGCGAATTGTTCAACTTTTAGCCTAAAATCATTTATATCATCAAATACAAGGATTCAAAAATTAGCACATTGGGGTAGATTTGGTTAGCTAGTTGATGGGTTCCCATAGATGGAATGCCACTTGGTGAGGCGACTCACAAGAATAAATTAATTAAATTTAATATGAAACTCACATTGATTAAATAATCATAAAAATTAAAGTTAATTTTAGAATTGACGTGTCTAACCGTAGATAATTCCATTATGAATTAATTGTAAAATGGTTAACATTTAGGCTGGTTAGTTAACAAGGTGATCTAATAGGGATGAATAGTAAATGAACTGATCAACTAATAGGTACTAGTTTATCAACAAAAAGAACAACTTATTTGAAATTTATTGACCCTTAGACAGGCTCAAATTAGGATACAATATTTGGACTGAGTGGCAAGTCGGGGACAAGTTGTTCGTCAATGTGGCAGCACATTAGGTTTGGTTAAGCGAAGGTAGTGATGTGGTTGTATAAAGGACTTGACACATAATAAAGCGACCCACTAGCCATAAACTTGGTTTGATTTACTAGGGGTAAGCCCATTTGAAGGGCAAATTATTTTGTGTGAAGTCCGGACGTCGACCAGAGGCCAATAAAAATGCGCCACATCACCCAAAAGTGTACCGCGCTCGGTACCGCTTGGTACTCGGTACCAAGCGGTATCGGACGGTTATCCAGTCTGGTGTCCGCTCAGAATAATCTCTCCATTTGAAGGGCAAATTGCCTATGTCTAATTGACCATGATTGAATTTGATTGATCTAAAGCCTTCATTGGTTCGATATAAGAATAGAGACATAAATGGTTCAACTAGATGGACTCAAGAAGATTCTCCTATGGATAAATCAATTTTGTATGACTAGTTATTTGAGTAGTTTGCTTAGCTTGATTAACAATAGTTGATTAGGTCAACACATAGCTTTGATTAGTCGACCACACGGAGTAGAATTCAAATTGAGAAGCCTTGATAAATCTATTATTGTGTCAATAAGATTCGATCGATGGTGATAATCTAACCTAACTTTTATGAACATTTTGTAGATGGGGTTGTAATATATCTTCTTTTTGTGGCGGAGGTACTTGTAAGTTTAGCATGCCATCATCTCATGCATGAGCCCTTCATTTAGGCATTTTAAAGTTTTTTCACTACACAAATGAATTACATTACATGTGCTTCAATTTGAGCCTACTCATTTTATAATAGGCATAAATGCTTCCAAGCCACTAATTTGCATTGTCTTCTTCTAGAGTGCCATTAGAGCTTTGCAGGAGTAACGTTTAACCTACCTGTGCAGTTACCACATCAAATAGCTTACCCGTGGAACTACCAGCGCACTCGCACCAGCAGGTGATTCCGACCCGGCTCAGCTGTACTTTCTAGCAGACCACCAATCTCAGCCCTTATTGGCCAATTGTAAAAGTCTAGAATTTGAAGATCGACATAAGAATGCATGCATTGGATAATACTCTTCTTTAATAAATTATTTTTCACATTAGGATTTAGGTTTTTAAATGAATCAAAAGATTAATATTATAAATATTCAATAAAATAAATTTTATATTGACTAACTATCATGTTATTAGTGACTGTAACTTTTTTTAATATTTTTTTTTTTAATTTTACATGATCAAAAATATTTTTATAACCAACAACAACAACAACAACATTAAATATTTATCTCACTACATGCGATTGGCTACATGAATTCTTATTCGCCATTATCCTGTTAAGAGTCAAAATATCATTTAAATTCAATAAAAAAATGTCATTTATATTATTATCTCACTAAATCATTTTAGGTCTACCTCTACCTTTCTTAACATAAATCAAATCTAATACATTTACTAGTCTAACCGGGTCATCGGAATGCCGTTGTTTTATGTGACCAAACCATCTAAGACGACTCTCTCTAATCTTATCTTCCACTAAAGCTACTCCAACCTTTTCACACATATGCTCATTTTGTTTTATGGCTCTAAGAGTAAAGCCACTCATCCACTTGAGCATCCTCATCTCTACAACACTTAACTTAATATTATGCTTCTCTTTTAATGATCAACATTCAACACCATAAAGCATTACATGTCTCACCATCATCTTATAGAGTTTTCCCTTTAAGTTTGAATGATACTTTCTTTCACACAACAAGCCTGATGCATTCCTCCACTTCAACCATCCAACTTAAATTCTACTAATAATATCCCAATCTATTTTACCATCACTCTGAACAATAGACCTAAGATATCTAAAATGTGTACTCTTATTAATGACTTGATCACCCAAAATCACAATCCACATACTAAATCTATTACTACAAAAATTATAATCCATACATTTAGTTTTAGATTTACTCAAACGAAAATATTTAGACTCTAAGGTTGACCTCCATAATTAAAGTTCAAGTTTACCTTCAACTTCCTATCTACTCTTATCAATAAAAAGAATATCATCAACAAAAAGCAAACAACAGGGTACAACCTCTTGCAAATGTTCAATGAGAATATCCATGACTAAAGCAAAAAAGATATGGGCTTAATACTGATCCTTGATGTAATCCAATTAAAATAGAAAAATACTTAGACAAATCGTATTTGAACACACCAGCTCCTACATACATATCCTTAATAACTTGAATATAAACATTATTAACCCAGTTCTTTTCTATAACTATCCATAGCACTTCTCTTCTAACTTTATCATATGCTTTCTCTAAGAAAATATTATAACTAAAATAAAATTGTTCGGTTTTTAAATTAAAAAAATTTATAATGATTATAATACTTTTTTCAAAAATATATTATCTTTATAGATAGCTGCAATCACTAAATTGAGCACATGCAACTATTAGTAAAAAAATAATGTTATGAGAAAATATACTGGGAAGAGGGAAGACATTACCGTTGGACAGCATCCAAATCCAATTGCGACGGAGACTGCCAAGCTGGCGGGTCGGCTACTTGACTGGATGGATGGACGGATGGCTCCATAGCAATTTTCCATGAAAAGTTTCGCACCTGACAGCTCTAAAACTGAAAGCTGTAAAAAAAATCAGAAAATTTAACTGAAATAGCCATCTATTCATCTTCACGAACTGAAAGCTCTTGCAATGTTCAGATTAAAAAAATAATAATAATAATAATGACAATTGAAAGGTGGGAGGATACATAGAAAAAGGGTTGAGAGAAGCAACCTACCCTTCAGGGCATCATTATTATATGTGGAACAAATGACCGAGTTGATTACAGTGCTTTAGAGATAAATTACAGCAGAAAGAATTCCATTACAGACGATTTGTAACGCAATCAAGTATATAAAAATAAACTCGGACGTGGAGACACCGTTTCCAATAGTAGGTTGCTTGTTCAGTTGACAAGCAAGCATGAGAACTAAACAGCAGAGGCTGAAGAGCACAAACTGGTTGGAGAGATGTTTTGCCCATGAGTACCATTCATACCTTTTGCAGGCGAAGTAGTTTGAGCTCCATCGGAATAGATCTTGCTTTTACTAGTTTCCTGTAGGTTGTTTGGTTTTTCCTGAAGTTCAATGAGCTGGATTAGCATATTACAAAAGTCACAGTAATAGCAGATGAAGCCTAAAAGAGAAGGAAGCTACCCCATGCATGTTTCAGACGTATAAATATATGATCTACTATAATTTCAAATTTAAACCCATTTTTTAATAGCCTTGACTGGTCATCAAGCCGGAAAAGGAATGGTATTGAACCATTATAGAAAAAATTCTCACTACATGAAGTGATTGCTTAAATGATGCAATATATATGTATAGAGAGCCAATTTTGATTACTAAACATCAATGCTATCAAATGAAATTTTGATTAAAATCATATATTAATAGCCACATTTCAGCTATCAATTCTAAGGGAATCAGGATGAGCTCCCTTGTTGAGTTTTTTAATAGAATTTCAAACAAGGTGTTGAACTGCTATCATTGCAAGAAGGAAAGAAGATCCCTCAACAAATAGTTCTAAAAAGGTGAAAGGATCTTCAAGGACTTGATGACAGATGCAACAATGCGCATGAAACAGTCATATGGCTGCTGTGCCGTTTTGAGCTGATGCCGAGTAGTCAAATCCAATTGAGAGTCTCAATCCTGTCCCGCTTAAGAGTCAATGTGAAAGGAGCTATGCTACATTACAATTTAGTCCACTGAAGTATCCTTGAACATCAAATACAATCAAATGGTCTCAAATTCATCTTTATTTGGGAGAGAAGTTGAAACTATTACTAGTGTTTATTTGGAAAAATAAAGGTCATTGGCCAAAACTTTCGAAATATGTCTAATAACAAAAACAGGGTTGTGCATGTGTGATTAGTTTATGGTCAGTATGAGAGAACAATTCTTTGAGGGTAAAATAATGTTTAAATAATGTTTAATTAATTTAATACTTAAATTCTTAATTAAAGATTAATTAAATTTAAAATTTAAATATTTTCCTAAATATTATAAAAAATTACTTTATATTTCAGAGAGATTTAATATTCAATTTTAATTTAATTTAATAACTATTTTAATATTAATTATTTTAAAAATTATTTTAAATACCTTTTAATTATTTTAAACTATGAAAAATCATATTAAATTCATTTTAAGCTCTAAAAATTCACATAATACCTTAAAAGTTTTAGAAAATTAAGTATTTTAATTTAAAATTATTTTCAGATATTAAAACCCAATTTTTCTTAATTGTTTAATTACTTAAATACATAACTATTATCTAATTAAATATTACTTTAAATATTTTCAAATTAAAAATTTATTTTGAAATTATTTTGAAACTCTCCTTGGGTGACCAATGATCTCTCAAAAAAACATTTTATGTTATTTTTCATTACCTTATTTTGAAACTTATATGTTTATAGGTTAATATATATGTATTTATAAAATATTTTTAAATTATATTTTTTAATTTTGAGAGATCTTTTTAAATTTCAAGCATGGGCTATGCATGTAAATAGAGTTCATGGGAAAAGATTTGTGAATGATTGAATTCCAATCATTCACTATTTAAACATCATTAATCTTATTTAATTATTGTTTAGTCTACTTTTACATGTGTAGGACTATGATGCACCGACACTTCTCCTCAAAGAGGCGTGTAGTGTCCGACACCGTGTCCGACACGACACTCGTCCGACACGTGTCGGACACGCCGAAACGTGTCCGGTTAAAAAAATATTAAAAAACTAATTGGACACACGTGGCGACACGCATATCTTAAAATTTTTATAATTTTTAAAAAATATAATTTCTTATGTTTGGCGAGGATTTAAAACTAAATTTCTTATTTCCTATCCATAACACTAAATCAACGTCTGCATTTAATACCAATTCATCAAATATTTTCATTTTCATTTCTCTTTGACAGTGAAGGTATTTTCATCTCCTCTTTTTGTACAATTACAAATCTTTCCTTGTTGAACCAGAGTTGAAAGCAGTGATATTCAATGATGATGATATTGAAGGCCAAAAACAAACCTCTAAAGCTAATCCTAGTAGTTGAAGCTTGAATGCTTGATGTTGTAGTAAGTGATTATTTACTTACATTTTTGTAGTTGTATTAGATATTTTGTACTAAATATTTCATATTATAAGTTAGACAAGTTATCATGTCATTCATTTATTATTATTTATCATTTTTAATATAATAATACATTAATATATATACACTATATAAAAAATGTATTGCCGTGTCCGCGCCGTATCCGTGTCCTATATTTAAAAAAAAACCGTGTCCCGTGTTCATGTCGTGTCGTGTCCGTGTCCATGCATCATAGGTGTAGGATGCACAAGCATTTAATCTAGTCTTTCCTAATTCTAAAGACATGGTGTGCTATATTTTGTTGCATTTTCCATTTATGTTACCCCAAGGGTTAGTGATTAATACTTAATTTAAAATTTTCCCCAAATACTATTTAACGTAGCGACACTCTAATGACAATAATTAAGGACGTGTCTAGAAAACATAGAGAAATTCTAGGAGCTATAATACACCTATTGATATGAAACTTAAAACATTTAAACCTAGTGACATATTAAACCCCCATATAATTTTTAGAAATTTTTAGTACCTTTTAAACCCCTTAATTGACAAACTCTAATTTAAACCTTTATTAAACCCCGATAACTTCAAAAAAATCTAATAAATTCAAAATAAATCTAAAAATTACCCATAATATATCAAACTCTTCAGAATTCAATCCTTAATCTCAGAAAATTAAAAACCCTTTAATTGGACTTTAATTTGAACATTAATTTAATTTTGATTAAAATCACCACCACCACCAACAATAACAACATTAAGCCTTTGTCCCACTGTGGGGTCGGCTACATGAATCCTTTTTCGCCATTATGTCCGGTTAAAAGTCAAATTATCATTTAAATCTAATAAAGAAAGATCATTTCTAATATTTTTTAACAAAGTCTTTTTAGGTCTACCTCTACCTTTCTTAACATAAATCAAATCTAATACCTCAACTTTGCTAGCCGGGTCATAAGAAGGCCTTTGTTTAATGTATCAAAACCATCTAAGGCGACTCTCTCTAATATTATCTTCCATTAGAGCTACTCCAACGTTTTCATGTATATGCTCATTCAAATAATTAAAAATTATTAAAAATCACCCTTTTAATTAAATTAAATAATTAAAAATTCCAAGTTTCTCCAATCACTTGGGTCATTCCTGACTTTCAGAGGTCATTCCTGACTTGCCCTCAATTAAATAATTTTAATAATTCATTAAATACGTCAACTTTGAAAAATCATTACCAATTCAAGAAGAATCCAAATTGGGTAAACTAAAAAGCATTCAACTACAATTAAAATATAGTATTTATTAAAAATATCAACTTTCTATAATTAACTTAAATTAAAAAGTCAACTCTCCGGTCAACCGTAGTTTGATAACTAGGGCCCAAAAACTTTTAAAAATCATAATTTTGTGTAGAAAACTCTAAATCCAACAAACTCAAATGCTAGAACCCTTCTGACTTAGCGAGTAGGCTGACCCCCGAACCTTCTAAAATCTGCTAACTCAACTTAAAATTCAGATAACACTACCCTAAGCATTAAAACTGACCAACCAACTAAATGAATTAAAATTGATCCCAATATATTAATATTTGAACTTTAATCAAAATGTTCCTCTTTTGACCTTCAACAAATCACATCACAAACAATTTGAATTAATCACCTAACATAGAACGTATCGAAAGCCACACAACCTACTACATACACATAGAATTATTTATTAGGGCACTACTTCTAGCTCTAGGTTAGGCCGATGTTTTCCTTTTCTGTTTCTATAATGTGACGCTCTGTATGTGGTACGTGTGTTGGTTGCTTTGATTTGTTGTGATTATTGTGATTATGAGCTTTATTATTATATACCTTTTTTTATGATGTGTTGTGCGATAGATTACCCACATGTTAGGGGCGATCTTAATACCAATGATATTTTCTGCAAGTGACTATGCTCATGCAGCACTAATAAAGAGGGATAAAATAATAAATAATCATATTTATGATTGCTACAGGTGCTTCAACCGCTTAGCCCCGAAATAAATAAGAGCATGGTCAAGTGTGGCTGGCATGAGTACTTTTATTTCATACATAACTGCTTGGGATATTTTGTTTTCTTTAACTGTTTAGAAAAACCCTATAGGAGAGTCTAGATTTTCCTTTTTATGATGTAATGTATCTGATGTATCGAGTTGTGAAAGTTTATAAAAATGAGGCATTTCAAATATAAGGGATCCAAAGAGAAAAAAAGTCTCTTTGTAGAAAATTTCTTCTTCATTTGGGTACCCTCCTAAAAGACGAACCCTACGAAAACTGAGGAAGATGATCCGTAGAAGGACCAGAAGACGATGATGAAGAGGAAATGCCTTATTTTTAAGACTTGCGTCATTCAGTATGATTAGAACCCAGATTATTATTGGTGGGGCCTAGCCACAATTACTTTTTCGCAAACCATGGGTTGTGTAACACTCCATAATATTCCTTAACAGTACATGGAGTATTACTAACATAAACATTGCATCATTTGATCATACTATATTTTTGAACATTTGAAATATTTATAAATCATCCAACATTTCAGTTCTCATACATCTCATCAAACGGAAGCAACTATTAATATTAACTTTAAATTCAAATAAGGTATTTACAAAGCCACTATAGAAATTCAAAGTAACCCATCATATGAAAGTTTATGTACCTCATGTTCAGACTTCAAACAAATATAAATACAAACATAACATAACATATGAAATACTTGTCGATTAATTTGCTATGATCTTCTCATTTCCTTTTTCTGTAACAACAGCCAGTAAGAAATATACTGGTGAGCTATGAGGCTTAAAAAGTTATGCAACTTTAAATAATTTTTAAACTTGAATAATAAAAATTCAAAACATTAAAAACATAAATAAAAGTTAAACTACTATAGACAATTTCATAAAATCTCATTTACCATTAACATTTACTTAATCTTAAATCTATATTAAATATCAAT